GTCGGATTTTGTGAGCATGTACATTTAGCTATTTTTCTAGGATTTTCACGTTTGTGAAAAAAGACTGTTCATTTCGCATGGTGCGACTATCAAGGAATTATTTTTGTCTTTTTTTTTTTTTTTGCTATCACTGTACACTACAGCTGTTCTGGGAGTATAGTTCGTATTATTGTACATAGAGAATTGTATTTGATAAAGAAGGGGGTTGGCATATATGAACAAAACAGCGGTCACCGACCAGTGCCGTTAGCTGGGCTCAAACGACCGTGTTGATGCCGCAGTCACTAGTACTATTATCATTGCGACTGCTAGTCACATATGCAAAACTCGTTCCTTGCTCGGATGTGGTATAAAAGTTTGATGCTGGATGAGGTGTATCACTTCTTCTCGGGCAGCAGTGGCGGGCGGCGGCGGCAGTGGAGCATCAGCCGCAAACGGCTCACAGAGCACTTTCTCCTTCATCGCAGATAATTGAAGAAATATTCCGCGAGGCGGTGGCACGTACGCCACCGGGAGGACGTTCGACTGTGATGATTTTGTAGCGCTTTTGCATTGGCTACTGGAAATGAGAAGCTGCGAATGCGAAGATGTGCGTGATATGGCCGGACTGAAGAGGTTCCTGGAGGAGCGCGTTGTCGCACAGGCATTATCGGATTTATGGGTGTGTATCCAAGCTTTCACAGGTTATGCGATGCTGTTGGATATCACACGCCTGCAGAAGAGTGGAGTGCTGAATTTGAGCATCAGTTTCCGATGGTCCTTCAAGTTACCGAATTTCACAGCACCCCATGGAATTCAGCCTTGATATGAATCGCGAACGCATTTCGCCCGTCGGCCGTCTCAATTCTCGAATTGCACATCGTGACTTCCAGTCAAGGAACTGAAGAAGCACTCAAAACAAGAGCAACGACGATGGGCTTCTAGTTTTCTCCTGCTATTGATGGTTTGACGTACGAAGAAATCGGAGTCTCAGAGGATGTCATTTCGGAGATTGTGGCAAAGGAACAAATTCACAGCGATTGTCTGCTGAGGCAAAATTCTCCTGGTCATGCAGCTGGTTGGAATGCCGTGCACAGAGATGATTGCAGTGTGAGTGCATCAAAGTGCAGTGACACAATTCCGAATGCGATGAAAGATCTGTATCAGAATGCTCAGTTTTCAATTGATCGCAATTTGAAGTTGGCCAATTCAAATATAAACCTGGATTCTGTAACGAAGTGTCGCTCCCCTGAAGAAAACTGATCGTTTTCAGCAGAATGAAGTTTACAACTGATGCATCAGACAAATATCTGGAATCCGGTGCAAAAAATCCGGTTCTACATTCTTGTGATTCTCACTCTCCTATCTTGATTTCCGTGACGAGATCTGCTGGCCGAAATTGGAGCGAGGCAAAAGAGTTAAGGCGCAGTTTGTACGACTGGAAAGAAGCAGGAGACAAAATAAAAATGATCACAACTTTGATGTGCCACTTCTGTTGTCAACTGCTTAGCATTTATGTCCTCACTGTAAATTGCGTTATGAAGTGATCGTTACATTATCGTTTGAACTGATAAATTCATTCGTTCCTTCCGCTTTTAATAAAGTGCTTCAACACAACAACCGTTTTGCTACACAAGAGCGACTGACGTAAGGCTGGATGCTGCACTGCGATTCCTGCGGATAGAGGAATA